TTTTTTTTACCGCTGAGTAGTACTCTAATATGTATATATTCCAGACTTTCTTCATCCATTCTTCCATGGAAGGTCATCTAGGTTGTTTCCAGGTTCTGGCTATTACAAATAATGCTGCTATCAACATAGTTGAACAAATACTTTTGTAGTATGATACAGAATCTCTTGGGTATATTCCCAAGAGACGTATTGCTGGGTCCAGTGGTAGGTTGATCCCGAATTTCCTGAGAAACCACCACACTGCTTTCCATAGTGGTTGCACAAGTTTGCATTCCCACCAGCAATGGATGAGTGTACCCCTTTCTCCACAACCTCTCCAGCAAAGGCTATCATTGGTGTTTTTGATTTTAGCCATTCTGACAGGTGTAAGATGGTATCTCAAAGTTGTTTTGATTTGCATTTCCCTGATTGCTAAGGAGGCTGAGCATGACCTTAAGTGTCTTTTGGCCATTTGAACTTCTTCTGTTGAGAATTCTCTGTTCAGTTCAGTGCCCCATTTTTTTAATTGAGTTAATTAGCATTTTAAAGTCTAGTTTCTTGAGTTCTTTATATATTTTGGAGATCAGACCTTTGTCTGTTGCGGGGTTGGTGAAGATCTTCTCCCAGTCAGTGGGTTGCCTTTTTGTCTTAGTGACAGTGTCCTTTGCTTTACAGAAGCTTCTCAGTTTCAGGAGGTCCCATTTATTCAATGTTGTCTTTAATGTCTGTGCAGCTGGGGTTATATGTAGGAAGTGGTCTCCTGTGCCCATATGTTGTAGAGTACTTCCCACTTTCTCTTCTATAAAGTTCAGTATGTTCAGCCTGATATTGAGGTCTTTAATCCATTTGGACTTGAGTTTTGTGCATGGTGATAGATATGGATCTATTTTCATTCTTCTACAAGTTGACAACCAGTTCTGTCAGCACCATTTGTTGAAGATGCTCTCTTTCTTCCATTGTATACTTTTAGCTCCTTTATCAAAAATCAGGTGTTCATAGGTTTGTGGGAGAGCTTGCGGGAATGGGATGGTTGGGATAATGGAAGGATGGATATGGTAGCAGGGAAGTATATATCTTAATTAGGGGAGCCATTTTAGGGTTGGCAAGAGCCTTGACTCTAGAGGGGTTCCTAGGGGTCCAGAGAGATGTCCCCAACTAGGTCCTTGGGCAGCTGAGGAGAGAGTGCCTAAAATGGCCCAATCCTATAGCTATACTAATGAATATCTTGCATATCACCATAGAACCTTCATCTTTTGATGGATGGAGATAGAGACCCACATTGGAGCAATGGACTGAGCTCCCAAGGTCCAAATGGGGAAAAGAAGGAGGGAGAACATGAGCAATGAAGTCAGGACCGTGAGGGAGGCAACCACCCACTCTGACAGTGAGGCTGATCTATTGGGAGCTCACCAAGGCCAGCTGGACTGTGACTGAAAAAGCATGGGATAAAACCGGACTCTCTGAATATGGTGGACAATAAGGGCTGCTGAGAAGCCATGGACAATAGCACTGGGTTTTGATCCTACTGCATGTACTGGCTTTGTGGGAGTCTAGCCTGTTTGGATGCTCACCTTCCTAGACCTGGATGGAGGGGGGAGGGCCTTGGACTGCCCACAGGGCAGGGAACCCTGACTGCTCTTTGGTCTGGAGAGGGAGGGGGAGGGGAGTGGGGGAGGGGTGGGGGAGGGGGGAAAGGGAGGCAGGGAGGAGGCGGAAATTTTTAATAGAAAAAATTTAAAAAAAAAAGAGGTTAGAAATAATGGGCCAGGCAGTGTTTAAATGAATACAGTTTCTGTGTAATTATTTCGGGTGTAAACTAACAGGGCAGTGGGAAATAAGCCCGCTGCTCCTTTTACAACATCCCTAGCTAAATTAGCCAAAAGAAAGAGAAAAGATACACATCACTATAGTCGGAATTGTGAAGTGAGATACTGAATGAAACAGGTATCAAGGAAATTATGAAAATCATTAACAGATCATAAAATCACTATGCCAATTAGAAAATCTAAAAGCAATGGATTAATTTCTAGATGCATACAACATACAAATTATTATTATTATTATTATTATTATTATTATTATTATTATTATTATTTTGGTTTTTCGAGACAGGGTTTCTCTGTGGCTTTGGAGCCTGTCCTGGAACTAGCTCTGTAGACCAGGCTGGTCTCAAACTCACAGAGATCCGCCTGCCTCTGCCTCCCAAGACAACATACAAATTAAACCATGATGAAATGAGGTAAGCAGATACATAACCAGGGACAAGACAAAAGCAGTAAATAAAAGGTTCCCAAGTAGAAAAATCCCAGAACTAGAAGAATTCAAGGAAGAATTCTACCCAACCTTTAAAGAATTAACTTTTTGTATTCATTTATAAGTAGATATTACCTGCTAAGTAAATGATAATCAAGCTACAGTCCACAGATCAAGAGAGGTTAAGTAAAGTAAAGAGGAGGATTCTAGGGAAAAGAATGGACTAAAACAGATTTTGTAGGTGGACTGAAGGCAGATGGGGACAGGAACAGGAGAGATCAAGTTGGGGTCGGAATGGAGAGACAGTGCCAAAAAGGGACAGATGGAATTGCAGGACACACACACACACACACACACACACACACACACACAGAGGCAGCCCTTAGAATGGGAGAAAATTCTTTGCAGTTATAAATACAACAGGGAATTAGTGTCTACAATATTAAAAAGGAAAGAAAGAATACAAAGGACTACTAAACACTTTAAAATGTCCAACACCCTTTCTATTACTGAGAAGTGCAGGTTAAACTGACACTATTTTCAGTTTCTCTCTCATTATGCTGAAGGGAAAACAAGGGATAGCAGATGCTGGCATAATGGTGGGTATAGGGAACTCATACATATTGTTGTTGGGAGTGTAAACTAGTGTAGCCACTTCAGATTTTAGATTGCAGTCTCGTGGTTTCTCACAAAAGTAGAAATAGGATTATCACGTAACCCAGGTATGGTCCTACTGAGCACATACCCAAAGGAGATACATCCTAATAAAGAGACTGTTTTCATTGATGTTCTATTCATACTAAATAGGAAATGGAATCAGCCTAATGTTCATCAACTGATCAATGAATATGGATATTGTGATACATGGGATATCTCAGATATGAAAGTGAAATTATGATATTTGAAGGTAAATGAGTAGATTAGGAAGATTTACTGAGTAAAGTCGCCCAAGCTTACAAAGACAGATATCACCTATTTTCTCACAAATGTTGAAGCTAGCTTTGAATCTTTTGTTTTGTGTGTTTAATATGAAGTTCATATGGAAGTAGAAAACTAGGAACTGTTCACTAGGGGCAAATGCAATTACAGAGGGAAGGTTGTAAAATATAAATAAAATGAAAGTAGAGAGGGAATACAGGGAGCAGAATCGTTCAATAATAGACTGGGATACAGAAATATGAGGGCAAGGGAACTGCCAACCAAAATGAAAGATGTGTGGAAAAGCTTTATGGGAACATACGATCTTGCAACCTAAATAAAATTTAATTAGAGCATATAGTCGGAAACAGGTGACATGAAAGAACAGGGGATGGAGGGAATACAGAGGGTTACAGATGTAAGCGGCAATGATCCCAGGAGCATAAGAGAGGAGTTGGATTGGACTAACCAACACTACATATATATGAAAAGATTTACAGAAGTCCACTAGTTTGTAAGTTAACTTAAAAATGCCAGTTTTAAAAATGGAATTTGAACAGAGGCATTCTCCATGAGGTGGTAATGCTGCCCCCAAAAGACATAGATTATGAAATGAAAATCTCAGTGTCAGACACAGGATACTGCTGTGTGAGCTATTTATTGGTCAGGGAGACAACAAAAAGAAACAAAATTCATTGTTCTTGGTTTTCTATATGTTTAGATGATCACTATATTACTTTTTAAACCTGATACAATGCAAACCCTCCATAAAGAATTGTTATATTGTTTTGCTTAGGAAATATTTATAAGCAAATAAATAATCGGTACAAGTTCAGGACAGATAAAACTTATTTCAAAACATTTCAGTTATTGATTATCAAACCTATAGATACTGAGGGTCAACTGTGGAGATGAATGATGACTCAGTGTCTTAGTTCCTGCTCCTCTTTCTGTAGTAAAATACCCTGACAAAAGCAACTCGGAAAAAAAGGGGTTATCTGAGCTCACAGTAAAAGAAAAGCCTGAAGCAATCGGCCACACTGCATGTACAATCACCATATGGAAGCAGAAAATGATGAGTATCCATGCTTGCTTACTTTCTCCTTTTTCTTTCTTTTTTAAAACATACTAATTTCAGTTCTCCCTTCCTCCTCTGCCACTCCCCCTACCTTCCCTTTACCCCTAGTTCATGCCTTTAATCCCAGCACTCAGGAGGCAGAGGTAGGCAGATCTCTGAGGTCAATGCCAGCGTGGTCTACAGAGCGAGTTCCAGTACCATCGGGGTGCTTTCTAGGTCCTCCCACTTTAATTAACCTCATCTATGCAGTCTCCACAGGCATGCCCAGGGGTTATGTATTCCCTCCCAAGTGTGCCTAGACCTGTCAAGTTGACATTAGCACTAATGGTCGAAGGGAGTAAAATGCTTGCCACAGAAGCTTAACTTAGGTCCCTAGAACCCAAACCAAAAATAGATACTAGGGCATATACCTGTAACCACGGCTGGGATGGCAGAGATGGGCAGATCACAGGGGCTGGTCCACTCCAGCCGAACAGTGAACACAACATTCACTAACAATCTCCCTCTAAAAGTAAGGTGGAGAGTGACAGAGGAGGACAACTGGCATACATAAACACATCACACACACACACACACACACACACACACCATCTATACTTGATATATTCTGTACTTTTACATGCATTTCCTTTTTAATATTTACCATATATAACATTCATTAAATGAAAATGTTTAATTTATATTTAAATATGCAAATTTATTTAAATTTTCACTCAACTATAGGAAATGGTATTCTGGTGTTATAAGGGTAACATTTTAAAAAATCTCTCACCTTTGCTGAGTGATGTGACTCACTTTCTGGAGTTGATGAACAGGGTTCTCCTTGTGATCCCTTAAGTTTTTCTTTTAATTTTATATTTTCTTGTTCTTTTTGAAACAGTTGGTCCTGAAGATTAACAACACTTTGTCGCAGCACGGCTTCATTTGATTTTGTAGTTTCAAAACATATATGTAATTCATTATAAAGCTGTTTTAAAAAAATCCAAAATGATAGAATCAACAAAGGAATTATATGTATTTGTATATATGTGTGTGTGTGAACTATATGTGAGCATATACTTGCCCTTGAGTTATGTTAACAGCCAACAAGCAGAAACAATGTGGAAGTGAGTGAGTTAAGTATCGATACAAAATTACAGCTGGCATTCAAAAGGGAAAATGTAGTACCAGCCAGGGCAAGAGACAAGAAGAGTGTTCAGTAGAAAAGAAGGGGCATGATTCTAGGCCAGTTATTCTCACCTGCAGGGATTCACATTAGAAAACAATTCTATTAGAATGGATCGATTTTAAAAAATCACTCTAAAGATCTCAGAAATGTGAAAAAGCGTGTAATTTGTTGGGAAAGGACACAGAAGCATACTGCATACTTCACTGGGTTCATTGAGTTTAACTGATATGTTTTCATTTAGCATAAATTATTGTATATTTCTGAAGAAAGGTGGATGGAAAACTAAAAGTCAAAGCAAGGTAATCAGGTTGCAGGTACACACAACAAAATTATCCGAACAGTGGAGCACTTCCATAGACAGCAGGGAGACAGCAAAGATCCAGTAGTGTTCTAATGGCACAGATGGTTAAGTTCAAATTGTTTAAGTCAAGATACATGCATTAAAGCTAAAGTAATAGTTTATTAAAACTGAGCCAGAGCACTTGGGAGGCAGAGGCAGGTAGATCGGTGTGAGTTCAAGGCCAGTTCCTGGTCAGTGAGTCCCAGGAGTCAGTATGTGCTGTACAATTAGCATCTCACCCAGGAATGCCTGGTTAACAACAGTGTCCCATAAAAGCTCAAGAATTTGCTTAGTAAGTGTTTGCTTAGTAAGGAAACTTCCAACTTAGGCTTGTTATTTAATGTGCTGTAACCCAACTGTAGTGGCAGATTTACATGTGGAATCCAAATGTATAACTTCTGCTAATACTATGAAAGTGATCCAAAAGCCAAGATTCTTTTAAGAAAAACAGCTACCACAGAAACTATAATATGACAAAAGCAAAAACCTCCAAGTGGAAAAAAATCACATTATATACCTAACAGAGTGGGATTTTAAGTTTGCTCGTCCAATTAAAGATAATGGCATACACAAAAATTCACAAGAATGAAAGTTTTAATTCATCCATATAGTGGAAATTGCTATATATTTCTGTATATGCGATATAATTTGATTTATAAAGCTTAAAATTTCAAAATTTCAAGAAAGGTATGTGCATCCTCTTCCTTAAATCGTTTCCTAAATCATACAATTTCCTAAAACATACATAAATCATAAAAATAAGACCTCTGAAACCTTCTAAACTATAATTAATCAAAACATTTGGGATCTATAAATAATAACTATTATTATGAATATTTAACTAATTCATATAACTTTACAGCAAAATTTAAGCAACTTTTACAAAATAAGTGTTACATATAGCATTTATAAAGAATTTCAAAACACAAATTTGTGCTTTCTATTGTCATTGCCTTATACAATACAGGGATATATGCTAAGGTCATTTCCACAGCTAATTTAACCAGATGCTCTAAAAAGAAAAGTAGTAATATTGACAGCATTCGGGGACAATCGAGAGGTCATTATAGACACAGTAATCACCCACCTGCTGATGCTTTCCTGATTGGGAACAAAGCTGACTAGAGACTAGAGCCAAGCTGAAGGGAGACAGATGGAGTTTTCAGGAGCGAAAGTGATACACATTGCTCTCAGGTGCCACCTCTTTAGCTCTTCCTTTATATACACAAGGTTCTGGGTCTATTCACCCAGGGTGGGGAAAAAATTCTGTTTTAAGCTGTTCTGTCTCTTTTGGCCTCACATTCCTGCTTCATCAAACAGAAGAGCAATAATAGTACTTCTCTGGCTCTTGAGGCACCTAGTGCAGCCTAGACTTGGCAGTGAGTCAGACACGATCCAGGCCCACCCTGCTCCGTATTACCACTTGGCTTTCCTGTTAAGACTCCTGAGGATGCACCAGGAAGAAAGATGGAGAGGAAGAGGTGAAACTTTGCCTTTCATATAGAAATCACTCAGTTAATATTCCTCATCATCAATATTTTCTATTTGAACAAGGAAATTTTCCTTAGGAAGTTGATCTTTAATGCTTCTGATGCCTTGAACAAGATTTGCTATGAGATCTTGACAGACCCATCCAAGTTAGACAATGGTAAACAACTGAAAACTGACACCATCCCCAACTCTCAGGAGTGTACCCTGACTTTGGTGGACACAGGCATTGGCAACCATTGCTAAGTCTGGTACCAAATTTCATGGCGGCTTCCCAAGCTGGTGCAAACATCTCCATGATTAGGTGTTTGCTGTTGGATTCTTTTTGGTCTATGCAATGCCAAAGAAAGTGGTCATGATTACAAAGCGCAATGATGATGAGCAATATGCCTCAGAGTCTGCGCTGGAGGAACCTTCAGTTTGTGCAGACTATGGGGAGCCCACTGACCTGGGTACCAAAGTGATCCTTCCTCTCAAAGAAGACCAGACAGAAAAGTTAGAGGAAAGGAGGATCAAGGAAGTGGTATAGAAACATCCACAGTTCATAGGCTATCCCATCACATTCTATTTAGAGAAGCAATGACAGAAAGAGATCAGTGAGATGAAGAGGCAGAGAATGAGAAGAATGTGAAGGAAGAAGAGGATAAGAATGACAAGGAAAAGCCTAAGATTGAATATGTGGGATCAGACAAGGAAGATGACAGTGGCAAAGATAAGAAAAAGATTAAAGAGAAATTCATTACAAAGAGTTGAATAAGACAGCCCATTTGGACAAGAAAATCTGATGACATCACTCAAGAGGAGTATGCTGAATTCTATAAGAGCCTGACCAGTGATTGGGGGACTACTTAGCAGTCAAGCACTTCTCTGTAGAAGATCAGATGGACTTCAGAGCATAGTTCTTCATTCCCTTTGTGGAGACCCAGCAGCAGAAGACCAAGGCAGACAAAAAGGACAAAGCTCTCAAGAGCCTGATGCTGCTGCTGTTTGAAACTACTCTCCTCTAGTTTCTCACTTGAGGGTCTCCAAACCTACTCCAACCACATCTATCACATGATCAAAATGGAGGATATTGAGCTTGAACTGACCATTTTTTTTATAGCCAGGCAAGGTTTCCAGTAGTAGGATTATTTTGTATTTGGTTGAGCTGGTGGTGGACGGGTCCTGTGGAGAAACATACACAACCCAGGCTGATACTAGGACAGAAGCTGCTCTCTGAAAACCGACACTAGGGCTCTACTGTCAAAAACAACATCCACACTCATTGAAAGTAGAGAGGTTGAGTTGGTTCCTGCATGGAATTTTCACCCTTACCTTCTAATCTCTTTGGTACTAAAAGGTACTCTGAAGGCTACCTAAAGAGAAATGTGGACACTAACCCCGCCACAAAACCCTAAGCCTACAACCTGTCCTGTCTGCAAGATGTGCTGGGGCAATGGTAGCTTAGAACTTGTGAGAATGGCCAACCTATGTCTGGTTTAACTTGAGACCCACACCACGAGAAGAAGCCCATGCTCTCCACTGCCTAGATTGCCAGTTAGTCAGATACTGAATAGGCAAGAGACATAGGGTAGAACCAAACACATCTGAAAAAAAATCAAGAAATGATTCCTAATGATATTTACAGAACAGTGTTTCTCAACCTTCCTAGTGCTGTGACCCTTTAATAAAGTTTCTTTTTTGGTGACCCTAACCATAAGATATTTTCATTGCTACTCCATACTGTAATTTTGCTCCTGTTATGAATAGTAATATAAATATTCGATATGCAGGATATTTAATATTTTACCCCTGTGAAAGTGTTGTTCAACTCCCAAAGGGATTGTGAACCACAGGTTGAGACTGCTAAAACAGCAGCTATATTCACAGATCTAGAGTGGTGCCTTGTCAAGTCCTCTTCACAAAGACTTCTTCTAGTAGTAGATAGGAGCCGGTGCAGAGACACACAACCAGACATTATGCAGAGAGTCTAAACTGGAGGTCCCCATTGGGTCCCTCACCTTAGAGAGCAGGGATCCCCACAAAAGAAGGGTAAGAAAGATTAGAGGTGTCAGAGGCAATGATGGAAAACAACAGGAGAACATGACCCACTGAATCAACTAGGCAGGTCTCACTCACATGGCTCACAGAGATTTAAGTGGCAAGCACCGGCCCTGCATGGATCTGTACCTGGTCCTCTGCATATATGTTATTTATAGCTGTTAACTTGGTGCATTTGTGAGACTCCTAACAGTGGGAGTAGGTGTGTCTCTGATTCTTTTGCCTGTTCTTGGAACTCCTTCTATAAGGTTGCCTTATCCAGCCTCAATATAACAGCTTTTTGCCTTTGCTTATTATTTCTTGTTTTATTGTGTTTGGGTGTTATCTCTTGGAGGCCTGCTCTTTTCTGAAGAGGAAAGGGAAGGGGAGTGGATCTTGGGGAGAGGACAGGTCAGGGTAGGGCTGGAAGAAGCAGAGGGAGAGGAAACTCTGGTCAGGATATATTATATGAGAGAAGAATCTATTTTCAATAAAAAAATAAATTAAAAAAGCACAGGATGAAAGGAGAGCCCTCTAGTCACATTTAATTCCAGGTACTAACCTACCTATAAATTTAAAAGATGCAGTTTAAGTCTACCTCTATCTCTAGATGATGACACTTCAAGCCAATAAATTGTTTATCTCCCAGAAGAACTTGCAAGAAGTTAAAATATTACAACTCTTTGGAAAGGTCCTTACCTTATATTCTGTGCACAGGTTAAGTGCTCAAACTTGTCCCGAGTAAGTAAATTAGTTAATATAATAATTTCATTCATCTGTATTAGTTTTATAATTCTGAGTTAGTAAATGTTTCCTCTATTAACAATCAAAATTCCTTGCCGCTTTTTTTAGAAGAGTTTTTTTATTAGTTTACTTGCTTTTGTTTGTTTTTGTTACAACTTGTTTCCTTATTTCTGTTAATGGTGTAAAAACCTAGATAGGATTAAACATTTTTTAGAAGACTCGGGCATAAAAAGAAATACGTGGTCAATACTCTTCACTGTCTGCAATCAGACAGCAGTTTAGTGGTTTTCTGTGCTACAACATGAGTGAGAAGAGTCAGAGTGGGAAAAAAAAAGTATATACTTCAAGGACAGGGAGAGACGAAGAGCACTGAAAGCTAAAATGGTAGTTACAGGACACCTAAAAGGCATGGAGAACAGAAAGACGGCTTAATCCGTAACCTCAGCCCCAGCTGGGGTAAGATGGAATGAGGAGGCACTATGATGGGAAGAGGGTAAAGAAAGCAGAGAGGGAAGACATTGGATGAGTTGAACACAGATAAAGAACACAAAGCTACAGTACAGCCACAGGGTAGGCCAGGCAGCTCCAGTGACAGGCCTCGCAGACCCTGACAGTCACACTTTTCAAAGGTCTCCAATCTAGTCTTGATATTTACGGTCATAGTGACAACCTAACACTGGAGAAGAAATCATTATCTTAGTGTTACAGCTATGTGGGATTGTGAGAGAAGCCTATTGCTTAAGGCTACACTGCCCTGGAAATCTGAAAGCACAGATCAGTCACCAATGACAGAGTCAGTAACTCAGTGTGGTTACAGCCCTAAGAGACAGTAGCATAGAGGAGGAGCAGTAGATGAACTCAAAACTGGAACACCAAGAAAAGAACACACAATTTAAAAAATGGGGTACAGAGCTAAACACAGAGATTTTAAAAGTTAAAGAACAAATGACTGAGAAACACTTTTGAAGAGCTGAACAATCTTAGCCCCCAGAGAAATACAAATTACAACTGCCATCACAGTTCTTATCAACAGCCTACTACTACACAGAGAGGACCAAACGTGAGTGACCAGATCCATGCACTCTCTAGGCCCTCCATATTGGGGCAAAATTCAGGGCTCCTCCCCAACCTGCCTCTGCTTCTCTAGTCAGCTAGCAGAAGAGTTTCCGGCAGGTGGTCTGCTCCATTACCCCCATTCCAGCTATTGGATTCTACAAGTTATAACTCCCACCCCACCACCAAACTCTCCTATCCCCTACAACCTCAGTAGAACTCAGAAACACAGCAAGATACTACAAGGAGAGAATCAAGAGGTTAGTGATGAGCCACCCAGCAGGACACCCCACTCTCTGTGACCTCCATACTGGGGCAAAACCCAGGGCCCCTCCCCCACCTCCTAACCTCTATAGCCAGCCAGCGGGTGAGTTTCCTGCAGGTAGGCTGCTCCAAAACCCCTGAGACACAGCCACTGCAAGGATTGGACCAAGACGCAAAGACACTGCTTGCTACTGGCGAATTTCTACAGCTGATAAATACCTTCAGTAAAGTGGCAGGATACAAGATAAACTCAAGAAACAACAACAACAACAAAAAACAGTAGCCCTCCTATAAACAAATGATAAAGAAGTTGAGATTATTCAACCTTGATCAGAGAAGCTTCTTCTTACAGTAATGGTAATAAACACAGAGACACACAAATAAACAATGTGTAGACAATGACAGATCTTGGAGCACTCAACTCTTTATAAAATGTCTGTTTCATACCCCTGCCTTAAGGTTTTGAAAGGATTGATTGTAGTAGTCAGAGGCAGTGGCTGACTCTAAAGAAACAGTGTCTTACAGACACAACAGTGCCAATGCACATATGAACTTAGAGACAGTGATGTAGGTATAAGGCCTGCACAAATTCAAGTCAGTAAAATCCCTGCATGAAGAAAGGGAAGTGAACACAAAGTTCCACCACTAACCAAGAAGCTACTTATAATTGATACCTGCTAGGAAAGTGAAAATCACTTTTCTCTACTGCAAGCTTGGGAGCAGGCAACAAACACAATATGAATTTCATGATTTCTTTATTTTAGTTTGTTTGGGGGAAGGTTGTTTGTTTTATTTTCTTAATTCATTTTTGCGGGAGAGAGGAAAAATATAGAACACTTGATTATGCAGGGAGGTGGAAGGGATCTAGGAAAACTTGGGGGAAATAAGAATATGATCAAAATATATTATAAGAAAAAGTTTATAATTAACAAAAGCAGTGAACTTACATTGTGGTGGCAGTGGTCCCATCCTCTGTGACAAGAGAAATGTCCCCTTTACTGTGTATTACTATGAAGGTTCACAGCTGTTAAATCTGTGGTGAGAGATTGCTCAGCCTTTGAAAGCTACATCCCTGCCTTATGTGGGTTGTATCCAAAAAGATCTTGGAACTCTGAGGCCCAGTCTGGCAGAGCACTAGATTCTCCCAGTTTCCTCCCTCCCTGGTTAAGTTTGCTGAGGAGATGGTCCGAAAGTGCTGAAATAAGCAGGAAGAATAAAGATTCCTCGGCCTCACCGCACTGTGCACAGCAGGTCGAATAGTGATTCCCCTGGCTCTCCCTCTTCCAGTGCACAGCAGGAAGAACAGTGATTCCCCAGCCTCCCCCCACCATGCAGAGCAGGAAGAATAGTGATTCCCCTGGCTCTCCCCCTCCAATGCACAGCAGGAAGAACAGTGATTCCCCAGCCTCCCCTCACCATGCAGAGCAGGAAGAATAGTGATTCCCCAGCCTCCCCCCACCATGCAGAGCAGGAAGAATAGTGATTCCCCAGCCTCCCCCCACCATGCAGAGCAGGAAGAATAGTGATTCCCTAGTATCACACACAGACACAGTGCACAACTGTTTCTGTTTGCTGATGCATACTCCCTAATGTATTGGGGGACACTGCCAAACCTGGACATTTGCTATCACTAGGGATAAAAATTCAAGGGCCTCTAGAGTAATTAGCAACCTGCTAGGCCATGAAAAAGCTCTCTGGACCAATACTGAATCTCAGCAAACAGACAGAGTCTCTCAAATGCAGCTCTAAATCACAAAACAGACTTGTGATCATCACCCAGCCCCGCTGCACACAGCATCGGCTATTCGCTGGCTAAAGGACATCCACAGACTCCAGTTATCACCTGCTGATCCCAGAACCTTGAGGTACAAAAAAGTAAAGCCATCTTTAACCTCCTTCCACATTATCCAGTCTCAACTATTAAAAGGGAACAATATTCTGATGATGTTATTGATACAAACGACTTAATACATTGTAAAGTACATTGTAAAATAAATAAAGATCTTAATACAGGTACTTTAAATTAATAGCAGAATTAGTGATGCTGAGTCAATTAGCATAACTACAGAGCCAAGTAAGCCTTGCTATGCGCTCCTGAAACAACTCCAGTTAAGTGACTACTATGAAATAAAGAGAAAGATCCTTGAAAATGAATAACCCTGAAGACCTAATCAGCATTCCCCTTTGTGTCTATACACGCTTACCAATAAAACAATGCAGATTTTACGTGAAGTCTACCTTAGGTCATACATTAGGGTCACACTTGATCCAATTATTTCTTATAACAGAAGCACTATTGTACCTAGTATGTTCACAGAAGAAATAAAAATTCCAATTTTAAAGTTGTTTCTATAGCTGTATTTTCAACTTTTCTAATTTAACACAGCAAACTCATAAAAATTTAAATATTACCAAGTTAAAACATGAAAAAGAGAATCAAATACAAAACTTTTCAAAACTTGAACTCTGTATTCCTAAGTTCATGCATGTAACTTCACATCTTTACAGCAAACAAGCAGCGTACTTTTTGGTAGGATACACTTTCAGCCGTGTGAACATCCTCCTGGTTCTTCAGTACCTTCTGTGTATCCATATTGAGGACCTGGAGCTGCTGGATCAGCTCGGCTTGTTGGGCTGTGTGTGCGCTGTTCTGCTTGTACAGGTTCTGCAGCTCCTGCAGCTCCTTCCTGTGCAAGGCAAGCAATAATGGGGAGTAGCACGAATAAAGATCACCTCCGGTAAATAAAAGTGTTCATCTAATATATACATCAGCTCCCTATTTTTCATCTATTATTTTTATTGCAGGCAAACTTATTAATAAATGAAATATACATAAAGTATTTAATATTTCCCACATACACCTAGAAAGTATTGACAGAACTACCATGGCTTTCAAAAACAAATACTTATCAATTTTCTTTTATAGCTCGATAGAAATAAAAATTCTGGATATATTTTCACAGAACCATCTTCTTACTGAATTAAGTTAAAATTTCAGTTCCAAGTACTAATAAGCAATGGTTCTAATCATAGTTATCAGATAGTTTTAAATATAGGCTAAGTAAAGCTTTCATTTTACATAATAAAGAACTTTTAGTGGAAAAAACACAAAAAAGGCTAATAAATTTTTCAGAACATCATGTGACTCTGAAGATGCTGTGTAAGATGGTGAGGTTATCCAAAGTCAAAAGGAAGGAAAACAAAACAAGGGAATCCAGTCCTTGCAAACACCCAAGTGAACACTGGTAAAATGGGAGGACAAATGACCTAGTAGGGGACTATGACACTAAGGATCCAGGAGAACAATACCTCGAGGGGAGAGACCTCCAGATTCCTGTGGTAAGAAATCTTGCTTGACACGAACTATATTAAAAACTATAAATTATTTGGATATTCTATTTTGACAGAAAGAATATTTACAGAGACATTATGTTTGAGGCTCCACCACTTAGTTTGTTAGAACACCTATCTTATATAGAAACATAAATCACCAAAATACATTTTATTTTATATATTTTGAAGATTGAATTTTAAGTGGAATTTTCCTTATCTATAGCTTCAAACTTGTCATTTATATATATGGAAAGATTTTTAAATAAAGAAGTATGTAAACAGTTGTTGAAGACTAATGAAAATTAGTCCAGAGAAAATGAGCTCTGTTGTTTAGACATTTAAGACAAGAATGTTTTCAGTCATTCCCAACCTACATGAATAACCATGTACATCATCTACCTTCCTATGACTACAAGTGGAAACATGTAGGGAGAGGAGAAAGTCCAAACATTAGGGAGAGGAGAAAAGGAGCTGCACAGTGCCTCTAGGAAATGTAGTAAAGAAAGACACACAGTAGAAGTCCATTGTGACTATGCTGTTTTCTATTGCTAGATCAGAAATTTTAACAAAGGAAATAAACAATAGTATATCCATTGAGGTTAGTGAGAGCCTGCTGGCCAAGAGACCTATATAAATAAATATTGTATCTGTAGAAGAGGCATGATGAAGTTAAACAATAACAGTACACAATGAAAGCAAAAACTTATTTCTTCTCCAATATTCAAATATATCATCTTTTAATAAGAGAGCAAGATTGATATATACAAAAATTATTTACATTAAAGTTTTAAATATATGTATCTTCAGTCGTAACAAACACAATCTAGAGAAGGGAGACACTCACGTTACTATGAGACACATGAGGAGTAAAAGTTGACGTGAAGAAGAATGCACTTTTGTGCTCCCTCATACACTGCTTTTACAACCGTTCCTCTAGCAAGCATGAAATGGCTTAGGGGTGTGTGTGCGCACACACAATCTCTCTCTCTAACTAAGTGAAAAGTTTAAAATAAAAATACCTATGGACAACTGGGAAGGAAGGAATTTGTCCTGACCCACCTTTATACGAAAACAAAGAAAGGAAAATAACAGGGCTTATTTAAAACAGGTGGTTTGTGTTTTACTCTGAATGTGAAGCACCCCTCACAAACTCATATTTTTGAACAGTTATTTCCTGGCTGGTGGTGCTATTTTGTGAGGTTATAGAACCCTCTAGACATGGGGCCTAGCAGGCAGACATGGAGCCATGGGGACAGGAGGCTTGTGGGTTGTACCCCAGTACCAGATCCAGTCTGGTGTTCTCTGGTTCCTAGTCAGCAACAGAGATGTGAACAAGCCACCTCATACTGCAGCCACCATGGCGTTTTGACAAAGACAATATTCCAAGTACTTAATATTAAGCAAAGTTTACTGGGCATATTAAGAAGTCCAGAAAACAAAGAGTAAGTGCACTATTCCGGTTAGAAACCGAGTCATGATCTTACTAACGGGGAGCACCTAGCTGGTAACTGGTACCACTTTAGTTTACAGAATTCCAGATTTTCACTGCACAGACATACGTACCTACGGAAGACATCCTGTTATTGTTTGGAAGTATTAACAATAAACATAAATGGTGTCATACTCAAGACTAATGATATTCTGATGATATTGAAAACTAAATAGACTTGCCTGACCAGTGTAATATCCATGTCTTTTTGGAGAAGTTCAGTCTGCTTGTTGTTCAACTGTAGTGACAGAGCATTATATTTACTCCGTGATAATTCAATTTCTTTCTTTGCTTCAATTAAATTGTCTTCAAAAGCCTAAAATTAGAGCACTTGTGTTACAATATAATAGACAAAAGTATATCATAGTTATTCTATATGATGTAGGGAAAAGTTAGTAATGTTCTTACCAAAACTATATTTAGGTTTTCCACAATAATTAAATTTTAACAGATTTGAATATCAACTTTTAAAATAATTTCAAAATAAAAAAAATAGCAGATCAAGGAAAACGACAATTTTGAAGAAGTTTAGGTGAAAAAATTCACAAAAAGCAGTAACTTATATTAGTCATAGAATTTTTTTCAGGAACTTAAAAAATTTCATAGTATAAAAATCAAGAACTTAGGCTAGGCGGTTGCACATGCCTTTAATCCAGGCAGTAGGGAGAGGCAGGAGGCCTGTGATGTCAAGGCCAGCCTGATTTACAGATCCAGTTCCATAACAGCTAGGGCTGTTACAGAGAAAACCTGTCATGAAAAAAAAAATCAACAAGGCAAAACAAACTGTAAAAAGTACACAAAGTTTACTATTGAAGTTAAAATAACTCATACAATAAAATTTGTTAAATTAAAAATCACTTAAATATAAAGAATAAATGACAGTTATAGTTTTATTTGGTCCCTGTTTTAAATGTACAAACATAAATTAGCGAGCACTGCAAAGAAAACAAAATAATTTTCCAATATTTATGAGTGAGATTATGCTTTGTTCTCTTGATGGTATTAAAACTTTCAACTAACATTCTCTAAAACTCACCTTTTCTTCACAACAATTTTCTAAAGTTTTCATTTTGTAACTATTTTTAAAATTTATATGTATTTTAAGTTCAGAAAATTAATTTTAATTAGTATTATGAAGAAACAATTATGTCTAAATGGAGTCTGCCCATATTAACACCATTTATTCATTATTTATATAATTGATCATCAGGCTTTAGGTTAAGAACTAGAAATTCCCCTTTATTTACACAAAAATGAATAACATATGCACACATACAAAGATGATAAAAGGAAAGAAAAAGTCAAGAACGGAAAAAGAGGAGAAAGAGGAAGTTGGGTCTTTCATGTGGGAGAAAGGACAAGGACCTGACACACGCCCTAAGCAGAACAAGTTTATCTCTGTGCTCTGCTTGCTCTCTTTGGGGGTAAGCCAGACAGGTGCTGAAGACAAAATGCAGTGAAAGGTCTGTAACAGATAAAAAAGAATGAAGAGATTTGCACTCTGGCCCAGAGGCCCGGGGTAAGTTTCCAAGTTCATTGGTAGCATCAGGACAAAGGTGCCAAGCTCAATTTTCAACCTGACTCACGGTAGGTATATGAGAGGGCAATAAAAGCTTTCGTGAATTGAATAAAGGTCTACTTCAAACTAGAGGCATTGAACATCAAAATTGTGCAAAAGTGACATGACAAATGAACGTCGGAGTGGAAGTAGGTGACAGCAAATGTTCCTACTTAATCACCCTTAGAAAATCGAATGTTCAAGAAAGAATAAAAGGGTGGGGATGCTGTATACATAGTATGTAAGGACACAGAGAGATACTTCTAGAAGAGATACTTCATCCTACCACAGAGATACTTTCTCAATCATGTTCATTTATGCTCTACTCATAATAGCCAGAAACTGGAAACAACCTAGACATCCCTCAACATCTGTGATGAATAGATAAAGAAAATTTGGTACATTTACACAATAGAATTATTTGGGCATTAAAAAAACTGAAATCATGAAATTCACAGGTAAATAAATGGAATTAGAAAAAAACATCATGAAGTAACCCAGACACAGAAAGGCAATGTTTTTACTAGACAATGTGCATACTAGTTAAGTAGTTGATAAGCCAGCTACAACCCATATAACCACAGAGGTTAGGCATAGAATATGGGACTAGATGAAACAGATAGTTTGCCCTAGGAAAGAGAAATAGAATAGATAGTTATGGAAAGACAAGCGTAGGATCGGGACTGAAACTGGAATATCAAGAAGGGAGGCAAGGGAAGAGGGGAACAAGGGAGGGAATTCAGGGAAAGATAGCTGAAATTAAGGGCCATTAGAGAGAGACAGCATGTAATCCTAATATGGTAGAAGCTTCCTAAAATATATTCATATGGGAAGGGGATCTAAGTGAAATTGCCAAATGATGGAGAAGACAGAGCACCATCTGGGACATCTTTAGTCCACAAATGAAGTTTCCAGTATCGGAAGAATAGGTTACATCTAGTTGAGTTGTTGGCCAGGTTAACTATCTATTACATTATAAACCCTTAGAGATTTGTTTGATTTCTAATGAGAGACAGAAAGGGAGTGGATCTGGATGCAAAAGGAGGTGGGAAAAAACTGGAAGGGCTTGAAGGAGAGGAAACTGTAATTGGAATATATTATATGAAAAAAATCTCTTTTCTTCCCCTTTTTTAGATTTTTAGTTTTTAATTTTGTGTATGAATGTTCTGCCAGCATGTATTTAAGTATACAATATGCATGCAGTATGGACTGAGGCCTGAAGAAGGATCAGGTCTCCTGAAACTGGAATTACATGTGGATGCTGGGACTTAAACACAGGTCCTTTGAAGGAACAGCCAGGGCTCTTAAAGGCTGAGTCATCTCTCTACCCATCACCCCCTGTCAAATCTACTGTCAATAAAAATAAACAAACAAACAAATAAATAAAATACACTTAAATAAAAGCATTCTAAAACAACCCAACAATAATGGGGAATCACTTTTTCCTGTTTGTGTGCTCAGGGTATGTAGCACAGGATAACCTTGAAGTTCCTTCTGACCTCCTGACAGCTCTTCCCAAATGCTGAGATCTGTAGACTCCTGGGAACTGAACCCAGTGCTTTTATGCTAGGCAAACATGCTAGGAATTGAGCTATACAGACTCACTGAATGTTTAGCTGCTAGGCAAATAATGACACAAAGAACACTTTATAATTTGATCCAAAAATCAGTAAGCATTACAATTAATAGTAAAAGTGTTTCTAAAAATTAAAAATAAACTTGGTTTATATTTAAGGTTGTTTAAGGGTTTAAACAGTTCAAAAAGAGAAGAGAGTACAAAACAAGATATTAAACACATACATATTATGTGTGAAATGGTGCATTTTTATTGATTGTTAGTATGATATTACACACAAAAATACAGTGTATAAATACTATGAACTAATAAGAGCTTTTTAACAGAATAAAAGTTTATTATGCAAACATGTTTGTTTTTCCACATAACTCAATATTTATGATACCAGCAAAACAAATTGGCAAAAATAAATCTTATGACTGATGTGTAACATACTTACAAAGCCTTATTGAATAAAAGAAAATATGACCTAAAGAAAGATGTCTGCCATAATGAAAGCAGAGAATCATTATTATAAGCAGAACAATTGTCTTTTTCAAATACCAGTTGTCTCTACATTTATCTACAAATATAGATATGTAAATAATCGCAATGTTTTTTTATTGGAGTTGGTATTCTAGAACTAAAACATCATGCCAGCCATAACACCAACGTAAGCCACAAAGGCTAGGAACTCTTCCTATTTGAAATTTAAAACTCAATCCTAAAACAGGGCTAATCAAATAGGACATAGAAACAGAAACAGACCCAGAGGCAGTCAAATTAATTATACTAAAATTTGAGAAAGTATATTGTTTTTGATGGAAATTGTTCTTTTTAATGTCATTGGTACTACTCTAATTAAATAGAAACCCCCCCCCCAATCTAAGCTATAAACATTTTTCTTGTCATATTTCTCTCCATCCTACTTTTCACTGTGTAACAAAGATGAAGTTTTGTTGTCTGTGCATTTATATGTGTCACTACTAATACAAATTTCATGAAAGCCAAGTTTTACACTTGGTATTTCTCAATTATGCTGGTGTCAGACACATGCTCAACAAATTCTTCCATTCCTAACATTTACAACAAACTTCAACTCATTCAGACAGCTAACGATACATTTGTGGGCTGAACATGTTTAAGTCCCCAGTAATTACCTCTTTAGACTACGATCCCTAAAGAATTGGGAAGGATCTAATGGAGATAGCAATAGCTGCCAATATTCTGGAATTTCCTTAAGCTAACTTCAATCATAGACAAGAACAAACTTTTCTCCTGAATAAAACTCTATTGACCTTATGCTACTGTTTGTGCTGTCCTAGTCAAAGGTTCTAGTGTTAGCAGTTTCTAAGAGCTTCATAAATGCGTTTCTCACCACACATTTGGTTCTAACATGGGAGACTTTGACAAGACTGACTACACCACTCCTAGGAATCTCACACCTATTGATGAAACAAGACAACAGTTCCTCTACAAATCAGCTAATCCGCCTCTAAATCTTTCACTTCTGAAAGAAGAAAAGGTTTTCACGGATAATTTCCCACTTGCTGGTAAGCAGCTCCTCTCCAATTTCATTTCCACATCTCCTGTTCTCCCTATTTATGTAAAAAAAAAAAAATTACAAGGAGAGACTAGTAAGAAATTATACTGTTTTTATTTACACATTTCTGTGTAAAGATATAATATTTAAATGATATATATAAGAAAAAAAGTGAAATGTCTAAGAAAAAGCACCAAGGAAAGTTATGATTATTTTACTAAAAAATTATGTGTGAAGCATCTACTTTCAAAATGGCCCATAATGAGACGCTTCAGATATACCAATCCTAGAACGTGGGCTGTACTTGATGATTTTTTTTTTTTTGTTTAAGTATACAAGGTTGCCTCCTAAAACTTAGCCAAGGAGATAAAATAAAGGAAGAAATGTCACCCTGGGCTTCCTGAGATTGAAGCAGTCTAAAAGAGAAACAGAGCAGCAGTGGTGACTCATACTTTGATCTTAGCATTTGGGATCTCATGCCTTTGCACTAGGGTGGTACAGACAGAAATGGAAGGTGGGTTTCACCCATTTAGTCTGAGGAGTCTTTTTTGTTGTTGTTGTTGTTGTTGTTTGTTTTGTTTTGTTTTGTTTTTCAAGACAGGGTTTCTCTGTAGCTTTGGGGCCTGTCCTGGAACTAGCTCTTGTGTGGAGGCCCAAAAA